TGACGCGCCTTCCGATGCGATCGGACACACGCGTATACGTGCATACGTGTATATGTGTATATGTATGTGTTTGTGTGTGCACTAGCCTCCGATTGGAAAGCGTAAAAAGAGGATGGGGATAGGGCGTACTTGTCGAGGTGTTCGTCGAAAGCCTAAAACACGGGGAAAGGCTTTGCGAGGCAGAGTAAATCGGATGCAGAAGACTCGGACGGTTCAACAGAGACGTGAATTGGGGTCTCGTGAGCTGACGAACGTTTTGCTTTCTGCTTCCTCGAAAGATGTGTTATTAATTGGCAAAGATGAAAAATATGCGCCGCTCCTCGAGATTGCCCGGCTCACGCGAGTATTTACCAAGATCCGATAGCTCAGATAAGCAGGATTCAGTCCGGAGTGTGACCGCCTCGAAGTATTTTAATCCACGAGCACGGCAGAAAGAACGAGACGACGTCGTCCACGCGGCGACAGTGAAGGGAACGCGGGAGAAATTTCTCGACCAAATGAACGCGCTTCGCGGCGCGGGAGATCGCGGCCACGCCCTGTCTTCTTCTCTTGCCGCTGTTGGCCTTCCTTCGACTCTTCGGGACCGAACGAATGAACGAACGAACGAACGAACGAACGAACGAGAGACGCGGCGAAAGGAAGTGGAGAGCGCGTGTGCCCGCTCTCGCGCACGCACGCACGCACGCATACACGTTGAGCGCCGGAGGTGCCCGTCGAGGTCCGGAGAGGGCCAAGGGCGCCTCTCTCGAAGAAACTGACGCGTCCTCCACGGTGAGAAAATTCTCCACCCGGGAGGAGACGGTTTAGCGCAAAAGAACCATCGTGACTCTCCGACGAGGAGGATTGGGCGGGAGAGGAAGAGGACGAGGGTGCGTCGTCGCTGGACAACGACCCACTCCTCGTTTTATCCTCTCACTCTCGATCTCTTTCTCTCTCACTCTCTCTCTCTCTCTCTCTCTCTCTCTCCCCCTCCCTCTCTCTTTCTTTCTCTCTTCCTCCGCTCCTTTACGCACACCCTCGTCCTTCTCTAGCGTGCACCTCGCTCTCGCTCCTGCGTCTCCACGCGCACCATTTATTAGAATGAAAACGTCATTACCGGCCAGCCGTAACTAATGCGCCGGTCGCGCAGCCACTTAGCGATGGTCGTACGACCGGCGGACCACAGCGGGAACGAAGACGAAGGGAGAGGGAGAGGGAGAGAGAGAGAGAGAGAGAGAGAGAGAAAGAGAGAGAGAGAGAGAACAGTCGGAATCATCGTCGGGACGTCGGGAGGAACGGCCGTGAAAGGAAGACGGTCCACGCCAATGCGGCGCCTCCTCATGCTACGTTGGTTGGCCCTTGTGCCGATGGGCGACCGTGATTTCGGGTCTAGGATGAGTGGAAGTTCTGTCGGAGGGTGGTACCTGGGTATTAGTGTCCTGGGGGAATTAGAGTACGCCGTAGAGGATTTTCGGCTATCACGCTCGATCGTGGAACGTCCCGAGGCTGTGGCGCGTTAAACATGTACACGCGGCAACTTCTCTCTCTCTCTCTCTCTCTCTCTCTCTCTTTCTCTATATATATATATATATATATTTACATATGCATATATGTATAATTTATAAGTATGTATGTGCATATACATATATATGGAAACCACTGCTTAATTCTGTCCGAGGCAAGTCCAAACGGGAAAAATAGCAGTACTCGTTATCTCGCGGTACGCACGGCGCGCGTGATATAACGGCAAATTTTTATAAGGAGAGCAACAAGTTCCGGCTTGTTAGCGTCTGTTATGTCACGCTTGTTCTGTGACAGCTACTTCTCAGTAAATCATTATGTCACCTAATTCCTCGTCACTCCCCGCGGCCGGAATTTTTATTATTCCTATTGCCACGACATCATTGCCTCGGTATCGACGCGGTATCGCATAAATTGAACAAACAGTCTCATGATGATCTCTATTGCGTTTCACGTCAATATAGTCTCCCCTCCTCGCTGGAAAAACGCGAGTCACTCGCTCGATCGATCCTCTCCTCGCGGCGCTCGCGCGTATATTTCGATATTCGACGACGGTGCGTCGCATTGTTCACGATCCTCGCGACGCTGCCTCTTCGCTGCTCGCGCGTAATCGCCGACGGCGAGTACGCATTTAATCGGCATATTAGCTTCCATAAGATATAAAATATTAGAAGCCGCTGGGATAGGCCAGGTAAATACCTCCGCGGCATATGATCGCTCGGATAGCGATCCTTGCTGCTCCGCAACGACCTTCGCGCCGCGCGATTGCTATTTTTCACGTAATTGTTGTTTCTGCGGTGAACCGTGACGCATAGTTAACAACTGCGTCTAAGTATCGCGCGTCTATTACGACGCGTTTATAGTTTCATTCTGATATACATTTTACGGTATATTCCACTTTCCTTGCGGATTGGAGCGGTATCAAGGTTCGAGGTCGCGCGTCGGGCCGTTTGCGAGCTTATCGTTTTGTCATGCGTAACTAGTCGATATATCCTGTCGGTATGTCAAAATACTTTTCGTGCCAGGCTCTGCAAATCGCCGTTTGTATTTTTGCGCCGGGCAGACACGTGGAGACTTTTATATCGTGGTCGCGTTCGGCCACGATAAGTAGCACGCGATATTATCCTTTAGAATAAACTAGAGATACCTGTAATAAGCATCGCGCTGACGGTCATATTTAAACACCGATCAGAGCTGGACATGAAAATAACATTGGTCAAGTGTCGGCTGCACTATCGGCGCCGTAAATTCCCAGTTCGCTCTGCAACACACATTCTCCACTTGACACACCGATGACGGAAAGGTCCGCTTTCTCCGAAAGCTTCTCCGAAAGCTTCTCCGAAAGCTTTCTCCGAAAGTCGCATTTGATAATAAACGCCGTGGATTTCCTTGGATCTCTGACTCTCCAGGCAAAACTCTCGCGAAACGCGCAGCGCTGCGCGTCGGCTCTTGCTCTCTCGCTCGCGGTACAATCTGACTTCGCCGCGCTTGCCGCATCGTCGTTGTTCGCCGAGGGTGATTTTCGCGATTCTCGAGCCGCAATGGCGACTGAATCGAATTCCGCGGTCTATTTCCCGGAACGGCGAGATGCGCCGAGTCCGGAGGCGGGTTTTCGCGGCGAAGAATTTCATTGAACAGTTCTTTGCCCGAGGCCGATCCGTCGCGGCCGTAATAGGCAGGGAAATGTCTGCAGGATGTGGCAGGATATGGCAAGTGGAGCTGCTCAATTCGCTGAACTGGTCTGGCGTGTGCTACCGCGGAATCGGTCGCAGCTGACATGTCGCGAATGCCCAAGTCGGCGGTTTTTCCAGGCGCGAATGCATGCCGAGTGTCGCCGAGTCAACAACCCTCGGCGTGTCCCTGATGCCCTGAGTCCCGTGACAACGCGTACATCAAGCACTGGTGTGTGCACACGCACGTACACGTATATACTTATACACACACACACACATACATATACATCACACGCGGCAACCGGATCTAAGATCGCGAGCGGTGCTATCGCGGTTGTCACAATTAATGATTATTATCTATCCGAATACTTTATTAATTAACGAAAGTTTCCCAGCGAATGAAAGAGGCAATCAATATTGATCAAGGTCGGATAAGATTTCATCTCGCGTGCGTGCGTGCGTGCGTGCGTGCGTGCGTGCGCGTATGACGATTTTTTCGCGAAGACCGGAAAAATAGCTTGATAAGCACTATGCGCGCGCGTTGCTACACTCGCAGAGAAGATCACCGCGGCAAACTTGATTTCAATTCTGTTCCGGCAAATTGTCGAGACTCGCTGATATATATGCATACGCATTACGCTGCACGAGATTTCGTGACCACAAATATTATCTCGACTGCGGGAATGGGGCGCGTCGAGGAAGTAAACAAGTCGCGGCTGTGTGTTTGCGCGGCCGGGTGCACGTCGCCTCTGACTTTAATTGATCCCACCGGTTCTCGGGCGAAGCACTCGGAGTCGAGTTCGGTCGCTTGAAAAGTCACGCGTATCTTTTTCCCTCCCTTTTCTGTTTTCGAGCACCCTGCAACAACACGACGGCATAAATCAATGAAATGATCAACGATAATTCCGCGGGGTCGCCTTCGCCGTTTTTCGGCAGCGATTACTCGCAATTCTGAAACAATACCGCGCGTGCAGCGTCACGGAGATGTTGGCGCATACTGCAACGAGCCCCGAGACCACGTACCGTCAGCACGTGTGTGTGTGTGTAAGTGTGTGTGTGTGTGTGTGTGGGCGTGTGCGTGTGTATCAGCTTCCATATTTATCGTTCTCCCGGTAAATACTTCGTATGTGGCATTTGCCGGATGACTGGTGCATATCTCACCTCGCCTGTACGATGCCGCGTGCGAATAAATCAGACGCGAGCCGGAATCCCGAATGAGGCGAATCGCTTCCGATAAGCCGTGTCGGCCGGACTCGTTCCCGAATGCGAGCGGTTCGCCGAAGCTCATCGGCCCGCGGCGGCGCGGCGCGGCGCGGCGCGGCGATGCACGGAGGTCGAAACGATCTCCTGACGCGACAACAGTCAATGAAATTCCGCAGTCTCGAGTCCAAGGATCGCGAATTGGCAAGGAGATCGGCCCGGCATTCCAGCGCTGCTCGCACACGCGGCGGCGCGTTGGCGAAAGGCGCTCTCGTTTGGCTCGCGAAATGGAAAGGGGCACACCCATAGCATAGCACACCGCGTTACGAGAAATCTGTTTACACGGTGGATCCGTGAGTAAAGCCTCATTGATCGCACTCTCGTGTCTAGCCCGCAATCAGCGTAAATCGTTATCTCGGGCGAACTTTCGAGGCCGCGCCCGATTCGTGTCAACCCGCGCGAGCACGCGAGCCGGAAACACCGCTCGCGCGTGCTTCGCAAAATATCGCACAGTTTTCGCATGAAAATATCCCAGCGAAATTTCATCAACGCATAAATCGACATCGCGGATCGCATCGCAAATTTCTTCCGCTCAAGGCGTAATCTAATTCTGCTTGCAGCTCCGATCGTTCATGCAGCGATGTCAACGGGGGCCGCTCGAGCGCCGGTGACTTTTAATGCCAGGGTCGCGGGATGCGCAGGAGACATCAACGCCGCGCTCTTCCACCGGTGAGTTGATTAATCTAGCCTCATAGCTCGGTGATTAATCCGATAGTCGACGCGCGAGCGTCGAACACATATCACTCGCGCTGAAAAGTATCGCGCTACCGGTAGTATACGCTACACCACTTTGTCTTATTTCATTATTTCTCTTCTTTTTTTCCTCCCGCTACATACCCCGTTCTCGCCGTGTCGACGCGCGCGCTCTCGCATGTATCTACGTTGCAAATCAGTTCCATAAATAGCATCGAGACCCACGACGTTAAAATCAGCCTGGTACATCGGCGCGTCGGTGGTTGCTGCCGCTGCCGTTGCCGTTGCCGTTGCCGGTGGTGGGACGTGCGCGCTATATATCAGGCGCGACTTGAAATTCGAAGTGACTCGAATTTTTCCTAATAAACCTGTGTACTCCATCTCTCTCTCTCTCTCTCTCTCTCTCTCGCGCGCGCGCGCGCGCGCGCTGGCTACCGATACGCTAAGCACGACGCCTGCATATGTTCCGCGCTATGGAGCGCCCGCCTGGTTGTCTGCGCGTGCAGCAGACGTTCTCGATCTCCCGCGTCTCCTCCGATGCGCACCGTGCATGCTCCCGATGCGTGTCGTGGTGCTGGTGCAGTCGGCAACGATGATAGGCGACGGTAGTGGTAGAGAGCTGTTCGATGTGTCGCGCACGCTCGCTCGCTCGCTCGCTCGCGTGCGTGCGTGCGTGCGTGCGTGCGTGCGTGCGTGCGTGCGTGCGTACGTACGTACGTACGTGCGCACAGTTGCTTGAGCGCCCACGTGTGGGTTTGCCGCACACACCGTGCCAGGTGAAAGAATGTCAAATGATGATTGGTCATTGCGGTGGCCAATGGGCTCCCCGACTTCTCGTCTGGTAGGTAGGCTCTCGCCGTTGCACGTAGCGGCGCCGCCTCCTGGTGCAGCTAGCTATCAAGGCGCATAAAGTCGCGTCGCGTCGCGATTCAAACCCGCCGCCGTAATCGGCACCCGCGTTGCCACGAGGGAACATTGCCGACGAGCCGGCGCTCGCTTCTTCCTTCTCTCTTTTCTCCTCTTCCCTATTCTTCGTCTTCTTCATCTTCTTCATCATCATCATCGTCATCTTCTCCGTCTTCTTCGTCTTCTTTGGTGTCTTCTCTTCTTCTTGTTTCTTTTCTTCTTCTTCTTCTTCTTCTTCTTCTTTTCCTCCTCTTCTTCCTCCTCCTTCTTCTCCTCCTGCTCCCCCTCCTCCTCCCTCTCCGCCTTCGTCTTCCTCTGCGGCTGCCGCTTCCTCCCTTCGTGATGCGCACGCCGCCGGTTCGGCGATGAGCCGATGACCCTTTTTTGCCGTCCTGCGGTCGAGATTAAATGCATTTAGTGTTCTCGAGATTCGACGAGGACGCCACGACAATTTTTGTGACTGCTTCTTTTACTCGCATTCGTCGGGGAACATGTAAACATTGTGTTAGGCGCTGCCCTACCGGTGATTCTCTTCGAACCGCAATTCCTTGCGAAAATTGAGGAGTCAGTCATAGCTGAAAAGCAACGTTTCGTGCGCTCTTATTTTCTCGGTCCGGCACGACCGGGCAAAGCGCTCTTTCACAAGTGTCCAGTCGCCGAAACCTGGCAAAAAAGCGCACGCCTCTTCGCGGTTTCGTACCTACTTTAGCGGCCAACTAGAGAGCTCACATGTGCAACGGGCTGATGTAAGCGCGCGCCGATTAGATTAGAAAATAATTATGTTATCAGTACCGCTTGGAGTGTACACGCGGTGCATTTTTCCTCGAACCTTATCTCGCCCAGTAACCAAGCTGTCTACAACGAACTTTTCCGAATTTATGCCCGACCACAGCAGAGAAATTGCGTTAATGGCTCGATATAGCGATATCGAGATGTAGAAAATGTAGAAACGCGTTATCACCCGGTATAAACCTGCCACTGTAATCGTTATATATATGCTACTAGCAAAATAAATCGGCAAACACGTTTCGTCGCCTTTTTTTCGTGCGCATTGTTTCTCTCTCTCTCTCTCTCTCTCTCTCTCTCTCTCTCTCTCTCTGTGATTCCTTACATTTTTCATCGCAATTATCAATAGCGCCAGCAGTAATGACGAATGCGCGTATCGGACAGAATCGAATCTCCTCTTTCTCTCGCTCCTTCGGCGTGGAAATGAAATACTGCGATACGTAAAATTAGCTTGCGCAAAGTACTATCGAGAGTCAGCGCGGCGATGTCCATCGGTCATCATGACCAGCCGAACAGTCGACTTCTTCCTGTTGTGACACGGCTCGTCCTTGTCGCGAATATCACTACAAGAGTATTTACTCAGCCTCGGCGTCGGTACCGTTAGTGCGATATCAACCTACTGTACCAATTGATAGCCGACAATGCACAGGCCCGAAGTTCCCGTTCATCGGCACAGTTCTAGACGAAGTCACGCCGCGGAATGTCTCGCGCCCGTGTAGTACTTTTCCAACGGGCAACCGCGCAGTGTTAATTCGGCGTAATCGCGGAATCGCGCACAGTGCAGTCGCGGTGAGAGAGTCGACTCGTCGGTGATGCGACTTCCTCCTCGCGTCTCCTGACGCCGCGGAGAATCGAGAGAGTCGCGCTCGGTTGAAATTTGAAAATTAAAGTACCAAGCGGGACACGCGCGGGTATCGCGGAGGTTAAATGATGTCGCAAGATCGCGCGACGAACTCGCGACCAGCCCGATGCATCCTCCCCTACGTTGCATCGCGGCACTCTCGCGGCGTCATGGCTTCGGGATGCCTACGGCGGATCGACGAATGTTTCAAATAGTAGACTTCTTTGTACGCCCGAGCCTGGGCGTGCGCATTCTACCTACACGATGAGGAACGCCGAAGTCGGGGCTTATCGATTGCAACGACCCGCTGCGTCACTCCGATGCAACGAATACCGATGCATCACCGTGGAATCCTCGCCTCTTTTTCGATCGTCCGCACGCTACGTGACTCACATTCGGTACAATCCGCGCGGCGAGCCGTGGAAGCTCGCCGCTTCTCGCGCGCGACATCGAGAGACTCGCCGGCATTTAGAGTTTCATAGTATATGCATTATTAATATAAAACAGGCGTCGATATGCAAATATATATATATATATATACACATATATATAACACATTGTAAGTAACAAGGATTTATTGCCGCATAAATAAAATTTTATTTATAAAAGACGCGTAATAAAAAGTACTCAATATTAAGCGGTCCGGTCGGCAGAACCGGACGCACATGGTCTCCACCTGTTGCATTAAGTTAATTATTCATCGTTTAATTATCGATGCGTGAACCGAGCGTGTCCACCGAGAGAAAAGATCAGGGACAGGGAGAGGGAAGGGTAGGGGGTAGGGCGAGTAAGGCACGGAGATTTGTCGGTTCTAATTCAGCTGCGACGGTCACGCAACAGTGTGTGAGTCGGAGCGCGGTATCGCCGGACGTCATCGGTCACCGCGACGAAAGCGCGCACGGGCACGGGAGGGTGGGAGGGGGCAGGGGGGTAGGAAGGGCTCGCGATAAACAGCGACGGTTAAAAATAGAGAGACGAGGCTGAAGTCGCGCGCGGAGGAGCCGATCGTGAGTGTGCGATCGGTGACAAGATTGATCTTACGACGGATAGATTGCAATCACGTATGAGATCTACTTACGGATAATTTACGTCGCCACGCCGCAACCACCACCACCACCATCACGCTCGCGCCACGTACGAACGATGCTCATTGCTGCGGCACGTTGCTGCGTGTATTTACGCACTGCTCCCTCGGCAGCGCGCCCGGCTCGTCGTAAAACCTCACGATTCCGATTGCGCCACGTAGCTGGCGTAAGGGCGAGAGCGCGCTGCAGCGGCGAGCCAATGGTCCCGTGCAACAATGATTTAGACTCGACCGATATCTGACTAATTGTCCGCAATCTCGCGCACTCGGGCGCGTACAATCGCAGCACGCGTCGTAGCGAGCGTGTCCTCCGCACGGCCAGGGAGGGACGGGGGGATGTACGCAATTTTAAGGCGCGATCGATTCCAAATGTTGCGCGATATTTATTCGGCCAAGGGCTCCTCGATCACGCTCGCTCGTGTATCGCGTGCTCTTACTATCCGCACGCTTATTACGCCGACGCCGTAGAGCGCCGCGCGGCACGCGATAGATAAGCCGTTCTAAATGGATTATCGCAACACAACGTGCCATTAATTACGATATCATCGCGAGCGCCGCGGAATATTCGATATTTATCCATGCGGGGGCCGCATGGGGCGCGCTCGACGATCTCGAAGGTGCAGCGTGCGCGCGCGTTATCGCTAATTATTTATCGAATACAATGCGGCTCGGGACGAACGCGCGCGCGCGCGCGTTTTTAGCATTGCGCGGAGGACAAGACGCGATCAACACGTCCACCCGTCATTCGCGCCTTACGTCCGTACATGATGACGTCGTAAAAAGCTGCGCGACTAGATAACACCGCGTCGCAGGATCATCCGCCGTTCGCTCTTCCCTCGCGTCGGTGCGTCGTCCGAGCGGATTAAGGAACGGAACGGAGCCGAGCGAGGACCACGAAGGGCAGCCGCGCGCGCGCGCGCAGAGAGAGAGAGAGAGAGAGAGATCCTCGCTCGGGAATAGCGCCGATAGCGGCGAACGAGTGAGAAAACGATCGTACGCGCCGCGGTCATTCGGGGATCGGCCGATAATAAATAATTACCGATAGCCCTCTCGCCGGTCCGTCCGTCCAGCGACGAGCGCGCACCGGCGCGGCGTATACGACGTCATTCGCACGGCCCGGACGAAAGCCATTATGCCGTTGGCCGCGATAGCAACATTATACGAGGCTGTATACATCAGCATTCAGCCGACGCCTAAACGCATAAATTCCATCGCGGCGCGACGATCCAGCGCGGGACGAGAGCGGAATCGCGCCGGATCGTAACCGATCTTCCAGCACGATCCGCTTTCCGTCACCCTCCGCGCGCCCCGATTGTCTCTCTCTCTCTCTGTCTCTCTCTCTCTCTCTCTCTCTCTGTC